AGTTTTTTAAAAATACGCTGTTATGATAACGATATCTCCAAAATACAGACTGCAGCTTATTTTTTCCAGGGGTATATATCAAATGTATGCAGAAACAATTAGTTGGCCGTTTCTTCGTTGCAATACATTTTATTTTGCTCTGAAACTAGAGGAGGGAAGTTACCGCTACTGGTAGCGGTAACTGTGCGTTACGAGTAACAAGTAACGCCAGATTGGGGAAAGGGAGAGACAACCATTTTTGTGGTCGTGGTCTTCTCGACTATTGTACGTGTGGAACCTGGTGGTGTTCGCGTGGACTTGAAGTTTTCAAGGGTGCTTTACAATCTGTCCCGAACAACACGGTGCATCTTCCTTTCAATAGCAGGCAATGAAAGAGGGCTAGAACTGAGATAGGGTCGGTTTTCAAGTCGCAGTCTTTTTCACTATTGTAAGTGTGAAGCATAGTGATGTTCGAATGGATTTGAGGCTTCCAGGATGCTCTACAATCTGCCTCCCACAATATGATGTTGCTCCATGACAGTAGTGATGATCCATAGGGAACTTGGATCGACGCGGGGGGAAGAGCGTTAGGTTGCGTATTTTGAATAATGATTTTGCGTACTACTCTAACGGAGCAACATCATGTTGTGGGTGTGTTTGTGGATGTGAGTATGATTGGGGACGGGTGTGGGTGCCAATTGCTTCTTTTTCCACATCAACACACCCCACAGAAAAGCCTATCCATGCTGTCCACTAGAGGGAAAGGTTACGATCCCTCTAATGGAAGAGTGACAACAAGTGTTGTATTTGCTTGTCTTACATCCCATCGTCCTTGTCTGTGGATTCGTTCGTCATTATTCTAACTGATCAGGAACAAAAATGCTTATCATTTCAAGTAATACATTGTTCTTTTCATGCTATTTCTATTCTCCATTAGTCTTTTTGTAATTCTTGGATACTCATTATCATAAGATCAAATCGTAACGATAACGATGATGCCAGTCTACTTACGATAAAAGCAATACTTGAATATATGAGGTTGTTTTTTTGCTTTGTCAGTGGTCAGGGGTTTCATGCATATATTGTTGAGAGGAAGTGACTGGGTTTTTTTAACTGACGTTTATTTAGCTGTAAAAAAGGTGTTCTCTTTTATTACCATGTGCACACGACACTGAGAAAATGTGTCATGCCATCGCTAGCATTCGGTTATTCCGCAACACTGATTGTTTCTATCGTTTATTTTCGCCCTTCCTTTACCTTATGTTCTCAAAATCGCTACAAAATTGGCGATTAATCGCCGATTTTTTTCAATAGATGCAGTTATTTTTGCCATAGATCGTCATCTTTGACAGATTGTTAGCCTTCTTTATACGGATTATATGCATGATTTGGTGAGACTAATGTTGATTTTTTCAGGTATAGATAATAATTACTTTATCACTGATTAGCAGTGAACAAATGGTTTTATTAAGACATTCGACACGTACATTATTTTTATGATGAGAGTTGGTGGATAAAGGTGAGAGGTAGATTGCTTCAACAATACTATAGATGAATCGTTAGTTATTTTAATTTTTGTCTATGAGAATCTGTATCAAATTTTATTTTCAAAAGTTTTAAATTTATCACAGATTTTTATATTTCAAAAGTAAACTAGTAAGTCATAGTTACAAGATAGTAACAATAATGAAATAGCTGAGAAATCATCAAAACTATTGCTTAAGCAGCTAGAGTTTATGGAATATGATTGTTCTCTTTGGAAATACATCCGATTTTAAAAAGAACGAACACGTAAAAACGTGTGCTTCTTACGATTTTATTTTCGTCAAATTTTTTCGCTTTTTTTTCTTATTCTCCCGACTCGATTGCTGTTCGAATGGTTTGCATTCACCAATATGCGTGTTATATAGATGTCAGAGGACACATCAGTTCTTTTGCAATGATTCAATCATTTATGTTTGTTTTTTCTGTCCTTCTCAACTATTCACTCATGTTACTCACTCCGATGTATTTGTCACTTATTTTAGCTACATATATAAAGAGTAACAACAAAATTGACTGAATTTTTGAATTCAAATCGACGATATGCCCAATCTATTATTATATTTTATTCGTCGACCAGAAGCAAGAGCTTTTCTCATTCTCCTCGTCTCAATTCTCATTCTTCCCTTGTCAGCATTCTCCTTATTCTTTGTTCCTCAGTCTATCTGGCTACTTATTCGTTCATCATATATTTTCATTGCACTTTACATTGTGGGTGTTTACTTCCTCACACGATGGTTTGCTCGTGGCAAGCAGTTTAATGCTCTTAAAACAAAAAATCTTGGTGGAAAAACCTATTTGATTACTGGATCGGCTAGTGGAATAGGAAAGCAAACGGCTCTCGAATTGGCGAAGCGTGGCGCCAAAGTGATATTGTTTGCACGACCAAGTAATCTACAGCAAGCGATCGACGACGTCAAAAAAGTAGCAAGAGACGATAAACTCATCAGTGGCTATTCTCTCGACTTGGCTGATCTACTTTCAATCGAAAAATGTATCGAACAATATAAGAAAAGTGAGGGCGAGTAAGTATTACAATGACAAAGAATATTTAGTTTACGAATTTTCTTTGTTTTTTGTAGAAATACTTCGATTACTGCTCTTATCAACAATGCCGGAGTAATGGCCTGTCTATATTCACGTACAAAGGACGGCTTCGAGATGCAAATGGGCACAAATCATTTTGGTCATTTTTATCTTACTCAATTACTTCTTCCCCAACTACGCAATTCAAAATCACGCGTAGTCAATGTTTCATCAATATCTCACGCATTGTTGCAAGTGCCGTGCACACTCGAAACGTACACTGAACAATTGAACAAACAGACATATAAACCTTGGCACGCTTACTCACTCAGTAAAATAGCAAATATATATTTTACAATTGAATTACAGCGCCGTTTCGGTGCACAAGGTCTTCGAGCTTATTCTCTTCATCCTGGTGCAGTTAATACAGATCTTCTAAGACACACAGCTATGTCTCAATGGTTTATTGCTCCTTTACGATTCCTTCTGTTCAAAACTCAGCTAGAAGGTGCCCAAACGAGTTTGTTTTGTGCCGTATCGGACGAAGCTGTACCAGGAAGAAGAGAATAAGCTCGAAGACCT